CCGCACATCATGGATGGGCCCAGAAGCTTGGGTCAAGAGGCATGTCTGGAGCCAGCTACAGCACTCTTCCTGGGCCACCTCAGCAAGTCCAATGTCCTTGAGCTGTATTCCTACTCTGCCTCTCCAGGGGTTACTCACCCAAGGGTGGCAGACTCAAGAACAGAACACAGATGACCTGACCCCAGCCCAGGACACTCCAGCAACCCTGCTTGGGGAGCCTTGAAGGGTAATAGCAGACAAGAGGCTGGAGTGGGCAGGAGACAGGCCAGGGGATCATCAACCTGAACAGAAGGTGACAGGAGAGGAGGGAGGAGGAAGGTATGGACTGAGTCAGGGTCTACTCTGCCCTCCCCACCTGATGACCTGAAGGCCCCCACCAACTCCCATTCACTGTTCTCTGGGGGGCCAACATCCCACCTTCCTGTCCTGGGGAACCTGCTCAAAATCAAAAATGTCTGTAAAGTATCATAATTTAGCTTTAAAGGTCTTGAGAGCTTTTTACTTTACTCCATAATCTTTGTTACCAGCTACTGAACTTATCTCCAAAGCTCCCAGATAGACTTCCCAGAAGATCCTATTCTCCCTTCCCTTGTACCCCCTGCCCCGCCCCAGGCTGAGGAGCGGTGCTTTCGGGAAATAGAAGGGCTTTGGGCTGGAATAAGACTCCACCTAAAATGTGTTTGGGACAGCACCTGCTGGCCTCTGTGAACACAACTGGAGGGGAACAGGCCAGCCTGGAGGAAAAAGAGCCAGCTGGGGTGGGGCTGTGCGACACATTGCCTTATCCAATATCTATTCAGAAACCCACCTCTTATCACGATATAAAACATGTCCTTTTATCTCATTTGAGTCTCATGCCTGCCTTACAAGATGAAAATTTGTACCCCATTTTACAAACGTAGAAACTGAGGCTGGAAGTTGCATGACACGACTGCAGGTGGTGGACTCGGGATTTGGGAGCAGATTTGGGTTCATTTCCCAGTCCATTGCCCATCTACATACTGCTCTGGTGCTGGGCAAAATTGGGGCCAGATTCATGTTCCTTATGGGGAAAGGTAAAGACTGAACTGGGAGCTCATCCACCCAGGGTTTACTGTGCTCTCCACTCCACCATGGATGGGTGAACAAACAGATGGACAGAAATCCCCCCAACTTCCACACCCCCACCCAGGACTGCATGTACAGGGTGTCTTGTCCTGACTCAGGGACTTCAGCCAGTTCCCTCTCAATCCACACCCAAGGAAGGGATGTGCCCAGGTCCGGCAGAGTGGGAGTCACCCCGGTCTGCTGACCAGCCTGTCCTGTCCTCCACTCTCTCCCTTTGACTCATTATCCAGCCCATGGAGGTATTTGTAGATCAGACTTAAGTATGTTCAGGGACTCGGGGATCTGCTTCATGAATCCATCTCCTTAGGAGCTAATCCTGCCACCCAGGCCCCTCTCTGTGGCTCCTCAGGACTGGAGGTGGTGGGGCTGCTGAGAGGATGGCCTTCTCCAGAACCCCGGAGGCATTAAACCACACAGGAGCGTGTCTGCGCCTCACCACAGCCCCAGTGTATAGAAGAGGAAACGGAGGGCCTGAGGCTGCGACCAGCCCAGGGTGCCCTTGTGTGCTCTGAGACGCTGTTGGGGGCCGAGGCAGCTCTAACTACAAGGGCGGGACCTGCCAGCACTGGACACACTCATTCATCTATTTAACAATTGGGTGCTGGAGACACAACAGGGAGCAGCACAGACAATATCCTTGTCTTGCGGGAGCTGACATGCCAGCATGGAAGTCAAAGGGCAAACAAGATAAGCTGACTGCTCAGCCGACAGAGTGATGATAAGTGTGCTAAGGTGCAAAAATTAAGGCAGGAGAGAGGATTGTAGGTAGCAGGAGTATAGAGTCAGGAGTGGGGTGGGATCCAAGTTTTCTGGCTTCTTTTCTTTTTGTGATGGCATGGAACAGAAGAGGATGGGATGGGAGGGGCGGGGCAAGGATGCGATGGGGCTCCCCATGGAGCAGAGGCTGTCCGCAGCAAGGACAGAGGGGGAAGCCTGGTCAGGAGGGCACTCGAGTCACCTGGATAAGAGATGGCAGTGGCTCAGAGCGGGATGCCAGCAGGGGAGGTGCTAAGAGGAGGTTCAGTTCTGGTGTGTTTGGTAGGTAAAGCAAAAGGATTTGTGATGATGAAGGATGTGTGAGGACACAGGATGTGGGGAAAAGAGAGGAGGCAAGAGTGGCACCAAGGTTGGGTCTGAGCAGGTGGGAGCACGGTCTGCCATTTATTGATCGGGGGAAGGCTGTGAGAGGAGCAGGTTTGGGGGAATGGGGCTGACAGTCAGGAACCCCGCTTTGAACGTGTGAGAGGAGTGGTGTCTATTTGCTGAGTAATCAATTGGTTATACTGGTTTAGTTTAGCAGGGAGGTTGTGCTAGGGATATGAATTTGGGAGTTTCCAGCAAACACTGGGGTCCTGAATGAGTTCTCCAAGGGAGTGAGTGTTGAAAGAAAAAGGAAGAGGCCCCAACACTAAGCCCCAGGCACTTGCTGTCTAGGATTTCGGAGAAATGAGAAGGGACCAGCAGAGGAGTTGGAGAAGGAGCAGCCAGCGAGGAGGGAGGAGGGCAGGAGGCTGCCCTGTGGGCGACGATGAGGCTGATGATGAGGCAAGTGCAATGAGGCCTGGGCTTGACTGCTGGATGCAGCAGCATGGAGCTCACCCAGGCACCTGGCGAGACTCAGTCTGGAGACAGGCACGGATGAGGCCCGCTAGACAGGGCCGGGCTGGGCAGAGAGAGCTCCACACTTCGGCTCAGCCCTCTCTCAAAAGAAAAATGGGTTAGGCCGGACATGCATGCCGGCCAATTGGCAATTCCAGGCATGTCCTGGAAATGTCCCCACTCACCTCCCTAGAGTTCTGCCGAGACCTCAGCAGGCACTTTTGTCCCCCTGGAGGGGTGCCTGACATACTCACTATAAGGACATTCATGTGCTTAAAAGCACAGGCCAACAGCAGGGCCCCCAAATTAGGGCCATGACTTCTGACCCCAGGGTATTGAGGTCCCATGGGGGTCATGTCTCCAAAGGCCAGATAGGGTGGCCTGAGGTGTCTTTAAAGGGGATGACAAAACTAGCTAAGATCCCCGGTACTTCCTGGGGCCTCCGATGTGCCAGGCGGGGCGGGGGCATGCCTACATCACTGCCTCATCTCTGCCTTTTACCGACGAGGCTGCGAGATGAAGTACCTTATCCACAGCCCCCATCACAAGGGAACTGGGATTCGAACCCAGATCTGGGAGTCTCAACTAGTAAGTGCCATTGCCCATGGCCTAGGGGCCTTAGGATCTACCAGTGGGAATCTGAAGCTCTTTGGGGCTTTTGTATCTTCCAGAGAATTTGGAAGCCAGAGGCCTCATTGATCAAGCCCAACTGGGAGGTGCTGGGACTCATTGCCCAGAACAAAGGAAGAAGGCCTGGCCCATGGCCAGCCCCCGATCAGGCCGAGCAGGGCAATGTGGCCATGCTGGCTAAGAGTCGGGGATAGGCAAGGCAGGTAGGAGGTGACTGTGAGCTCCTTGTCCTTCTGAGGGGGCTCAGGCCTTTCATCTCAGGGTGGCAAATCAAGGAATCACTTCCTGGCCGTCATCCAGATACCATGGCAATGGGGCAGGGTCCAAGTTATTGGGCCAAGGTGGGCAGTCAGAAAGGGCTTCCTGGGGGTGGTGCTGCTTCTGGGAGGCCAGTGAGCCAGGGAGAGACCTTCCCAGTGGGGAGCAGGGTCCCCTGAACAGTGTTTCCTGGGGCACCATGCAGATGTACAAGATACACGCACCCTGCCCAGCAGTGCCTCTGCCAAAGTCAGGGTTGGACCAGCCCTCTGTGGCCCCTTAGCCCAGTGGCGCTACCTGGCAGAAGGGGAAACTGAGGCCCAGAAGGGCGGGGCCGGCCTGAGGCTACACAGCCAACTCCTGAAAGAGTTTCTAGGGCTGAAGGGTGGTGCCGGCAACCTGACAGGACCTCCCTGCCTCCTCCCCAAGTCAGACTGTGCATTCCCCCCACACACACACCAAGGGCAGCTGGCTCTTTCCGCCACCACCACCTCCACAGTCCACCCCTATGACCTTCATGGTCTGCCGGTCCCAGAAATAGGTCAGTGTGCACCGCAACAGCCAGGAGAATAATGGCCCTTTCTTCATTCCTCCCAGGATCCGGGTAAGCCCCTTCAGGCCAAACATCTTAATGTGATAAAAACCACCCAGCAGGGAAGGGAAGAGGGGCGGGAGGAGGGAAGAGGGGGCCTCCTCACATCCGTGTCCACCAGCCCGGGAGCTCTGACCCCTGCCCGCCAGGACCTGCAGGGATCACAGAACAGCTGTCCCATGGGATGGATGGGAACATGGAAGCCTTGGAGCCACGGGGTTTCCTGCCACCTTCTAGCACAAACCTGCAGCTGCCCAGGCCCAAGAGAGGGCCCCAAGCACCTGAGACATTAGCTGGCACACCTGCTCCTTTGAGCCACGTGGGGAGTAGTCCTTCGCTGTAGCCTGAGCCATGTGTCCAAAACAATAGTGATCCCTCACCCCGAGCCAGTCCCCAGGCCCCAACACTCGAGTCCCCAGCCTCTGGGCACAGGCTAGTGATATGTCCCTTTCAGATCCCAGCCACCAGCACAAGGTACCAGCTGGCTTCCCTGAGTGCTGTGCCCTTGAGGCCCTGCCAAGCTGAATTGTGTAGAGTGGCGGGGTCCCCACGGGGTGCGTAGTTCGGGCTCTGGATGTCCCAGGCCAAATGCATCTAGCTCCCGACAAGGCCACCCAGCCCCCGCTGGCTTCCGACCTCACTGGCAACTACCACTCCACCAAGTCCTGAGAACACTGACTCTCCTGCCAGGTACAGCGAACTCAAAGCGTTTCAGAAACCCACCAGCCCACCCAGGACCTGGGCCCCCGCAGTGGGCGAGGGAGGTTCCTCTCCCGCTGGAAGCAGGCTGAGCGGCTGGGGGACGGGAATTCCTTCGTCCTTATCTGGATGTATTTAGGGCTCCTGGGATGTGACTGGAAAACCAAGTGGGGCGTCGTGGCCGTCAGACTGGAAATCTGTGTCGGCTGGGGGTGGGGTGGGGGTGGAGGGTAGCACGGTGGACAAGGAATGCATGCAGATTGGCGGCCACCGCTGTGTCCTCTTCCAGACCCGCCTGTGGGCGTGGCAGGTGGAGCAGCAGGCTCTGGGCTGGTGGAGGTGCACTCCACGCAGGGCCCTGGCAGATGGGGGCGATCCTGATGAGGGGCTGAGCCTGCGTCCCAGTGTTGCTTTTTTTATTCATGTGCCCTGTGATTCTGGGATTATGTCCTCTGGGGGCAGGGCCTAGTGCAAATCCCCGGTGGCGGGACACGACTCGCTTGGCAGATGATGAGATCCAGGTACC